TCTCTCTCTCTCTCTCTCTCTCTCTCTCTCTCTCTCACACACACACACACACACACACACACACACACACACACACACACACACACAGAGGCACAAATAAATGTTTTTTTGTTTTTTTTATTTTTCTCCGCACCTGGCGCACAGCTCGCACTGCGCGCACTGCGCACCGCCCCATCACACGCTGCACACTGGTGCGCCGCAACTACGAATTCTAGCCTTTCTAGGGACTTTTTTACTTATATCTGGATGTAATTGCAGTCATATACATTCGAGTCAGCCCGCGTGGACTTTTCCTTTTTTGTGTGTAAGCTCTATTTTCTTTTCTTTTGCTTGGGTGGATAGATCCCAGAGGCGGACGGGGGGTAGAAGGGGGTCATGGCACGTCCACATGGCTCGTGAAAGAAGAATCCTGCCATGTGGTACAGGCATAGATGTATTTAATTGAGAATAAGATCAGGAAGGTGATTACGTGAGGGTTGAAGATGATGGCGAGAGGAAGGAGAAGACATTGATTCGGTCTTGCATTGTTCTTCTTTTTCTTTCTCCATTCTTCTTCTCTCCTCGTCAAGCAGGATTATAGCAGCAAATATTCAATGACTGAGAAAAGAATCAAGCGAATGCATCCTTGGATCAAGTTGCAAGCCAGCATGCTTCTGAGAGGGAAGCCAAGTTAAAAATATACAACACAGCGAATTGATATCATTCGAGATTGACGTCGTTGAGAAAAGCAAGCCTAGCAAGCACTACACATTCAAAACTAATGCCGTACATTCAGAACCCAAATGCGGTAGTCCAGAACCAAGATACAAAGCACCTAGAGGATTTAATGGTTCACACTGAGAAAGGCAATTGAAAAGACATGCATCCCACCTGATGGAAGATGAGTCACAAAGTCCACATTCTTCAACAATTTGGCCTTCCCAGGCACGGTCATCATGCCAGAGGCTACGCCCACTGCAACCGCATTCATCAAACACCCCTGTATCACGTCAAATGACTCCGTCAGCAGAAAGACTTCAAACCTGGCACACAAACTAATGATAATGGCATTCCATGAGACCGCATCATCGCCCGTCACACGACATCTCAAATCTGCCCAATTCGGGATAGGGAAAAAAAAAAAAAGTAAGAATAGGAGACAAGACCAGAAGCAAAGAACAGAAACACGATAGAAGACAACAGTGAGCTGAGAAAGGATAACGGGAAGGTGAGAAAAGAAACAGAAGTTAAAATGGCTAGTACCAAGCCCACTCATGAACCCTGCAGAAAGACAGAGCATTCCTGATTCCGTAAGTCCACCAAGGTGGACATGGGAACCACGAGAAATCATGGCAGAAGAGTCGTGTGTGTGTGTGTGTGTTACAAATTATCACCACAACTTCCTCTATTCCGCCCAGATGAGTAGATCCAAAGTCACAGCAACTTTACCGATATTGCAGACAATGAAGCATGCTCGAGATGAGCCAATCCACCAATGAGACAGTTTTGCTTGTGAAGTCAATATCTATTCAGAACCTTACCTTTAAACAGGCAATGCAACACACTCGAGATGGGCCATGCCAACGGCAAAAAGAATACGAGACGCAGTACATTTGTTAGTATGCTACATCGTTTTCTTGATTATTTTTTCATCAGCCAGCATTGGGAGGCCTCCCATGTTCTTTGTTTTTGCAGTTTCCCTCTTACTGTGCCTATCACGTACAAGGCTGGCCGCGTTGATGATGGTTGAGCGCCAGCTGCCCATATCCCCGTGTGCCTTTACGGCCCACTTGCACGTTGTAAAAGGAGGCAGAGTAAAGGGGTAATTATATTTTGTCTGTTCTCTCAACGACACTCATTCATATGCAATTACTAGTACACAAGGAGAGGGAGTAGACGACAGGGAGGAGGACAAGAGAAAATTAGAGAGAGAGAGAGAGAGAGAGAGAGAGAGAGAGAGAGAGAGAGAGAG